AACAAGAAGCATGTAGGTGGTAGTGCTTCATAGAAGGCTTAAGTAGCCAACTTTAATTTGTGTGATCATTTTAAAACACGAGTTAAATCTAATAAAATGGCCATGAAACATTTTTCAGTTTTTACTATAGTGCCATACAGCCCCTCTTCACCCTCACAGTCTCACGCCTCATTGGCCCTGACCCCCCCCCCCTGTAAATTTGAACACCCCCCTAATTTCAATTCCCGGGGAAAACATTGTCCTGGGGAAATTCTGCACTGCTGCACATGCACAGAATTGATGTCCCTCACAGGTTTCTTTGCTTCCCTGCAGAAAAATGACTTTGACAGGGAAGCAAAGGGAAGCCACAAGAGCGATCATGCGACCCTCCCCAGCAGTATGTTTCAGGTGCCCAGGGCAGCTGGCAGAGAGGTAAGTCACTGTGGGGCAGGAGAAAGGACTGGGGAAGACCCGGCTGGTGGCTCCTATCCTGCTAGGCTGGGGAGGATGGGACTTTCTTCCCCTACGCGGCATCCAGGGCCAGGTCAGACACACCCCCAGGTTTCTCTCTCAGCTGCAGGAAGCTCTGCAAACTCCCCCTCCCCACTTCCTGTGCCCATTGCTCCTCAGCTGCAGGGGGAGGGACTCCCGTACAGGGAGTTGCTCCCCCATCTGCCCAACCCCCATGCATCCAGACCCTCCTGCTGAGCCTCACCCCCCACCCTCAGAACCCCCCTGATGCACCCCCCTGCACCTGGACCACCGCGATGAGCCACATGAACCCGGCTTCCCACCCCACTGAGCCCCAACCAGCTACCCCTGAATCCCCCCCAGCATCTGAGCCCCCCACATCCAGACCCCCCCCGCCAAGCTGTATCCCCCACACACTCAACCCCCCCCACCACTGAGCCCCAACCACCTTTACCTGGATCCCCAGCAGTGTCCCATTACCGTTGCACCCGGAACCACCCAATAAGCCCCTGTGCATCCAGATCCCCCCCAGATTCCCCCACACAACCCTCTCAACACACACCTGGATCCCCCAACATTAAGCCCTTCCACACTTGGAGCCTGCCTTGCTGAGCCTGCCAGCCCACACAGAGGGGCAGGGCCATAGGGTGTTTCTGGGGCAGGCCAGGTCCTTGTGCTGTGTCACGGTTAGATGCAGCCTCACTGCTGAGTGTGTCCCCCCAGGGGGGCTGCACAGTGATCTCCCACGTCTGTGCAGCCCAGGGGCCTGTGCTCCCCAATGCCATGTTGGAGCCTCCACATTTATTTGACAAATAACATTTGCAGAATTTTAAAACACTGTGCACAGAATTTTAAATTTTTTGGTGCAGAATGCCCTCAGGAGTACCATGTGTCCTTCCACTTTCACTGCCCTATAGTCCAGACACGTATAAACTTCCAGCACACTCCCTTCCTATAGACTTTAACATCTTCAGAAAGTACAGATGCCTTCCTGCATCAACCCTATTTAAATAAACTTTAGTTCCTAAAAATAACCCCACATAGATATCCATAAACATATCTGGTAAAAAGCAACCAAGTTTAAAGCAATTTTAATGAGGTCTAGCTCACACCCAAACCATGTCCCCCCCCCAACAATTATACTTAAAAAAAAAAAAAAAAAAAAAAAATTAAAAAAAGACAAACAAAAAAAAAAAAAAAAACCCCCCCCCAAAAAAAAAAAAAAAAAAAAAAAAAAAAAAAGTCCTGCTGATGTTAGTCTGGAAATGAACACTTAATTTGCCGGGTGGAGGTAGAATGCACTGACGCACTGGAAATAGTTAAGATGCAATCTAACAACGTTTTTACTTACTGCACAGTAGATAGCACTGACAGCACTATTCAACCACAGATCTCAGAGGCCGTAATTTTCTCCATTTTCCAAATGGGGAAAACTGAACTGCAGAAAAGTTATGTGATTAGCAAGTGGCACACTAGGACCCCAGACTGTTTAGAGACTGTACAAACCCAGATTGTGCAAGTCCTGTCTATTAAGTCAAACTTTTCCTCAGGGTCTCACTTCTTGTGAATTGGGAAGCTAAAGTGGGACTTTTGACCGAATTTTGGATTATGCTTGTATGTTTTTACATTTTTAGTATGTGCGCACTCCACAGGCACATTCTATCATTTAAAACAAAACCTAACCTGATTTTTAAGCATAAGTGTAGATATTCGTGTCTCATAATTGTTTTTTTTTTTTAAATAATACAAGGAACAAACTACATAGCTAATTCATCCATATTTGGAAGCCAGCATCTAACACAGACACTCTAGGCTATAGAAATGCCAACAGGTATCACTGGAATCCTGACTTCCTGGGCATCAGATAAAGGAGCACAGGAGCAGAAGTGAAACTGTGAGATGACCAGTATGCTGTAGACCACAGGCATGCCTTTGGCATCTATAAATTACCTACACCTTGATTCTTGGTACCAGGATAATTTCTACTTCTTTGATCAATTCAGAAGGGCTATGAATTTATCAGTGACTGGTAAGAATACAGTTTCTGTGTTGTTTTATTTTAATGAAATTAAAAGGGTGGGGATAGGACAAGAGAAAAAATGTAAAACAGAATGCAAGTACAAAAACCTGAAGAGGGAAAACACTTAAAAGGAGAGCGCAGTAAGGGAGAGAGGGGAAAAAAAAGCACCCACACCCCAATCTATAAGGAAGGGGAAGTTCTATTGCCTGTGTTATACAGGAGCTCGGACTAGATGATAACTATGGTCCCCCTCTCTCCTTGGTACATATGAAGTCATTCTCTAACAGAGATTAATTTTGAATTCTATTTTCTATAGGAAATAATGTGTGTAGAATGTAAATCACTCAAAACACAGAATGCTTAATTATCAAACTTTAATAGATAAGACTAATTTTACAGAATAAAACAATAGGATAACCAGTCAAGGTTACGCTTAAAAAAATCCAGCAGTGCAAATCTAAGACTAAATATTTGTCATCTCCCCCTCCTCCAAAATAGGTAATAGATTATTTTAAAATACCATAAATATGGTACTTACATATTCCATTTTATAATAATTCTGCAGTGAAAACTTAAACATGGTCTTTTTTTTTTTTAAACATACAGAACCAAAGAATGAATTGCCTAGAATATGGGTAAGACATAGTAAACTTCTTTGAGCCACACAAAGGAAATCTTTTGCTGGAAGGTAAAATGACCATGTGTTCTACATATGACTTGCTACAGCGATCCTGGCCTCCCTCAAGTATAATAAAAGTGACCCTGACAATAAACATAATAAAGAATCAACTCCTATCAGGCAGTGAAAGTCTAGAGTATGAATCTCCAAATGAAACAGGTGCCTTGGGAAAGCATAGTGACAGAGAGAGAGAGAGAGGAGTAAACAGTGAAAGGAGAATTTGAAAGCAAAACTTGTACCACTGAGTTGGCACACCAACCAACTGGATCACAGAGTACAGAGCATGTGCTCTGAGGAGAACATGCCAGTGCCCGGATAGTTGCATCAGCAATTATTCTGAGGTAAAGCTGGAGTCCGGTAAAAGAGAAAAAGGAAGAAAACCCCACCAAAATATGGCACCTTTGATATAAATGGCATTGCAAATGAACTTTTTATCTTTGGCCCTTATCATATGAAATGATGGATACAATGTGTGGAAACAGCTACATAATTTATCAGGTTGTATGCATGTGCTACAAGTTAGAGTATTGCAGGTTATCAGTTTCTTAACTAATCCTTCCCCTGAACCAGTTTTTCTTTTTCTCTTGTGACTTTGCCCAACTAACCACCACAAGAGCATCCTTATCCTAGCTAGTAGTACACTATCTTTGAGATGTACTTACTGGTGCTAAGAAAAATGCATGATTTACTTTAAGGTTGAACTTAACATGGGAAACCTACAGGTATTAAAAATTCTTCATACAAAAATGATTGAGCATAAGAATTGATGTAGTTGATATTTGTGCCTAGCAAAAATTTAAAAACATTTATTGTACTGATTTGCAAATACTATCAGGAAGGTGTTTACACTTGGGATGCAGAGTGTTATGGAGCGAATACTATAATCAAAACAAGCAGAGATAAATGAGAAATCCAGGCAAGGAAAGATCAAAAGTAATACAGTGAAGGGCTTGTACTACATCAGTAACGGTAGCACCAGCTCCAGCACCGTGAGGTGTTCGACTTCAGTGAGGCTCCTCACTTACATGGGTTGGTGCTAGTGTACTTCAAAGAAGTACTGGCACCTAGAATAGCTAAAATGGATACTTTGGCCAGACAACATATGAAAAGCATCTAGGATCTGTGTGCATGGAAATACTTTCCTCCTCATTCCCACCAAAAATATCCTTACTTGCATTCCAAATACTTTCACTGCTTGCCAGTAACCATAAAAGTGGGGCAAAGCACCTACGCTACTACTTAATTATGGGGTGCTATATCCCATTTAATCAGGAATTACATTCTTTTAGAATAGGGAACAGAACCCCCTATTAAAGGGTGTAATGTGAAAATAACTGAAGGAACTCAACTTCTGTATTGTTCATAAGCATAATTAAGAATTATTGCAAACTCACTACGGAAGGACTATACGAATGATCTTCAACAATCTTATTCAGCCAATCTAGAAATATATATTTTATTAGTACTTTACCTCTAACACTTATTTTGTAATAAATGATTTTATTACGTAAGGATATACCAATGTACTCTTTTACTCCATCACTGCCCATGTGCTCCTTGGGCTCTTAGGACCAATGGATAACCTGGATCCAACAAGGAATTTCCCATGGTTACATAAGGAGAATTCAGTGTAAAGACACAGAGTAGCAAATGGCTCTTGAACTTGGACTCAGCAGCCTGTAGAACGTATGCTGAAGTTATTGTGTATTCCTAGGTTTTTATGAACAAAGTTAACTATGGCTATGTCTACACTAAAGACCTTACAGCGGCACTGCTGTACCGATACAGCTGCCCTGCTATAAGGTCTCCCGTGTAGCCGCTCTATGCCAATGGAGAGCGCTCTCCTGCCGGCATAATTAAACCACCCCCAACGAGCGGTGGTAGCTATGTCAGTGGGATAGCGTCTCCCACCGACACAGCGCTGTGCACACCAGCACTTCTGTCCATGTAATTTATGTCGGTTGGGGGTGTGTTTTTTCAGGCCCGACTGACAAAAGTTTTACCGATAAAAGTGCTAGTGTAGACATAGCCTAAGTTACTTTTTTAGGTAATACCAGAAGACACAAAGCTTCATGTCACTCCAAATAGTGTTGAGATAACTTGAAGGAGCACTGTCAACTTTAAAATTAATATTTCAGGTTGAATTTAAGAAACTTTCATAAACCCCAAACCAATAAACATAGCCAAAAAACCCAAAGCCAACAATGAAAACAGGTTAGACACATCTCCCCTTGCTGTGTTGTAACCCAAACAACTACCCTTAGAATCTGAAAGTAAAATTGGGTGAACAAAAATTCAACGGATTTCATGTTCTAAATCAGATGAAGGTAAAAAGGAAACAAGGAACATAAACAGGGACAAGTACATTTGAATTTAATATTTTTCTTCATTTGTAATAATATAAAATGTTTGTAACACAAGTAAAGATCTAGAATATTTTAACTGACAGTGTCCTTTTAAATATCAGTGATCTATTTTACCAGGCACAGGATGTAGAATCAATAAAGGCCTCAGGGAAGGAGCAAACAGGAACATGAAATGTTACACTGGATTCCGTGCCCTTGCTCTCTTGGACGTGGTGAGGTCGCATGTGCACACTACCACAGAACTACAAGCACTGGTGGTAGTGTGCGCTCAGCCACATTATTGAGTGTGAACACTGAGTTCACTGGAGTGTTTAGAAGGAGTTGCAAAACAGGACAGAATGCAGTGGGGCCTTTCAAATGAGAAGTCAATGAAAGCACAGGAAAGGGAACACAAGTGGGTTTATGGACAAGTTCAGGGGTAAGTGAGGCAGTGAGTGGAAGCTGATAGTCGCTGAATCAGCAAGGCTGGGTGAGGGTGTAGGTGAATGAGTATGAGGGACAGAAAATGCTACATGTGTGTCACTGCCTCTTGCTATGCACTGATGTAGAGTGCGGTAGTGTCTGGTGTAGGTACAGCACATACACCTTCCTTCATATACTGCAGTTTTAGCCTTAATACTAAAATTGGGCATTAGAAAATAAAAATCATGATATCTGCATTTAAGTTTTACATATTGCTCAAAGGTAATGGAACTGACAGCAACTCTATTACCAGAATTAATGTACTTGCTAAGAACTTTCAGAGGTTGTCCTAGGAAACTGACATTGTACTACTTCAAAACTATCCCTGTTACAATGTATATATTATATGGCAAGACACATTAGTACCAGTTTTCATATGAAAAGGAAGTATCTCAAGCTACAAGTGTAACATGCATGTGACCAATTTATAAACAAGGGGAGAAGAACACCTTTAACACCGATTTATACTGTAGGGATGTTCAAACTGGAAAGACAAATCAGAACCAAAATTATGTTGCCACCAATAGTCTACAGGCAGACAGAGAACCTTAATCCAAATGGATTTTCAACCACCAGATTTGAAAAAAAAGCCATCACCCTAACTGACCCCCTCCCCCCCATCTATCTTTATAAAAATACTCATTCAGGAATTTGTATCTGCTGAGTTTCAACATGGTTATTTCAAATACAATGAAATAGAGACAAGGAATATGTTCAATTTAGCCTTTGCTAGAGAGGGATGTTTCCCTATCAATTTCACAAAATTTTGAACTACACGTATCAAACAATACTAAGAAGTGTACAGTGTTTTTTTAAAAAAACAGGAGCTAAAAATCAGAACAGTGATCTGTTATATGCAGGTTAAACGGATAGCAGGACTGATTCAGCCTTGCTGTGCAATACAATCCGTTAAGGGTGTGAACCTTTCCAGGACTGAAAGGGTCCACTTAGAAAACCTGAGATAAATGGCACTTTAACTTAACTGCTAAGTTGACAGGCAAAATGTCATGAGCCACAGATGAGGAACATTACTTCAGAAAGAACTAGGGTAAAGGACTAGAATAATTTGTTGGAAACTTGAGGAAAGAAAAGCTGAAATGTAGCCTTACCATCTTTACCCTTTAAAGATAAAGGTCAGTGGTCGGGTGCATATACAAAACTTCGTAAGACTCACTGAACTATATTACTAGGACTTTTCAAACCCAGATCACAAAGGACTGACTACTCTACCCTATTTATGCAGTATCCAAATCAAGTGGCATCTTGGCCAGCTTATCCCAACAATTAATAGGAAGGTCTCTTTGGTTCACTTCCTTTAGCATCATCTTTGTTACAATTGCAGTGCACTGACTCCAGGAGTCCTTTGCAGAGTGCAGATTGAAAAATCAATACTAACTCAGCCAACTAGGTCAGTGTTACGACTTTGCTGCAATAGGATTTTGGACCCCAACATAAAAGGTAAAGAAGATGCTCATAGAAACAGAATCCCCCTGAAAGAGACAAAGGGACAGAGCTATGCAAGCAACGAAGAATGACTGAAATTGCATGAAATGGGATATAAGCAGCACCAAGCCATCTTGGCTACAGAAAGTCTACAGTGGTATCTTCCTGCTCCCAATATGCAACATTGCAAGCATCATCCCAGAGCTGCTGGTATAAAAAACAGAGGAACTGGGAATCTTTGGGTTTAAAAAAAAGTTAAAATGTTGCTACTAAAAGAAGTGAAACCTGAAATAAAAGGGCCAGTGTAATATGGCTTACTAAACCCCAATTTTGCATACTGTTTAAAAAAATTTTTAAAAACGGTTTTCAAACTCTCAATCACAACCAAATAACTAAATTAAGTCTGTTTGTAACTGAAGAATTATGAAAATATTTGTCTTTTGTTCAAATCAAGTAAAAAATCTTCAACAATACATTGTAATATTTTCTTCTGAAAACTAAATTGGAAGATCTACTCTCAGCAGATTTAAGTGTATTACACACAATGTTTTATTAATTGAGATTTATTGATTTCCATTGTATTTACTTTAAATATGATTGAAGCTGACTGCAGAAAAGGGATGCTGAAATTTTTAAGTTAAAAGTAAACTAATGGTGAAAGAACATCACCTCTGGCTTCCGTCAATGCCTCGTTATATCATATTTTATTAATAAAGTTCCAGGACTGTCAAATCCAGGGATGTCGGAGGCCTCTCCCAGCAGTGTCCTTTGTTTTGTGTCAGTCTCCTGTGCCAGAGGTGAGCGTGCTTTCAAAAATACTGCCATTTGCCCAGTACTGTGTCTTTGATTGCATCAACATATTGAGTAGGTACCCAGTAAACCCAGTAGTAAGATGCTTCTGTAGGGCCCAGTTGAAATGCCTGCAAAATTAAAAGGACAACAGGTAGCATTTACAGATTGGAAACAAACAGAACAAATGGTGTCAGACAATCTGGATGGACAATTCATTTACTCTGAAATTAATTTAATCTACTGCGACTACTGCCTCCTCCAAATGCCCCTACCTCATACTCAGAGCAGAATCTGCAGCACAACTCCTAGAAAAAAATCTAAGCCAGTTAACTCAGTGCACAGGGCTGAGGCAGATGGCTGCATTGTAGCAGTTGAAGTTTCAGCAAGTATTTTGTATTTAAATGTTAAATACCATTATCTATTTATTATGACTGATGTAAATAGGAGAGAGAACTACGAAGTGGCAACAGTCTCTATCCTTGTGGTTTGAGCAATAGTTTATGCCCTAATCTGAAGAGGCTGCTCTTCCATCTGAGTGATCACAAATGGAACGTTTGGAAAAGGCATGGAACAGCTTCCTCTTGCAGATAATTTTTTGCTCAGGGCATTTTCCCCTTTCCTCCCACAAAGGGAGAAGTGGAATTTCTGTCTAAGAAACTTCTCTCAACATTACAAAGTTTAGTTACAGTGATATTCTTTAAAAGAAAAGCCTCAACTGGAAAAAAAGGAACTCTTGGACTTTAAAAAGCCCCATAGCAGAATCAACATTACCCTTGCCTGATATGTATCACTTTCCTAAACACATTACCAACCTTTCAGAGATTCAATACATTAAAATGGACGGTGGGAAAATTCTTTACCTCCACTGAGGCAAGTAGAGAAGATGAATGCAACAGGAATTAATACAGAATCAGATATGGGGAAGTACACCGCTACCTTGATATAACGCGACCCGATATAACACGAATTCGGATATAACGCAGTAAAGCAGTGCTCCGGGGGGGTGGGGCGGCACACTCCGGTGGATCAAAGCAAGTTCGATATAACGCGGTTTCACCTATAACGCGGTAAGATTTTTTTGGCTCCCGAGGACAGTGTTATATCGGAGTCGAGGTGTAATACCAACAGTAACCTACCAAGAGCTAAGCTCTTTTCTGACAAAGGAACATCACCACAAAGTGTTTATTTTGAGAAAATGATCAGGTGGAAGTTCACTCTAGGACTACTAACTTTCTCCTACTGTAACTGCCAGTTAAGTTCTTACTGAGCTAAAGATTGTTCTGGCAGAGTTTTTTAGTGGAAAGTAATGCTGAAGATGTGGAATTCTTACTGGCCCCAATGTTAGGGACATAAGTGTTGTTACAAAGGAAGAAACTGAAAAGACAAATGTTAAATATGCATAAAATCAGATAGGATTATGGCCATGTTTTCAGAAGAGTTCAGCATCCAATCTGCACACAACAAGCTGAGCTCTTCTGAAAGTCTGTCCCCAACTATAATGATACATCATTTTAGGAAATACTCCAAATGTAACCATTTCTGACAGTGGCTGTGCTGTCATTTCAAGCCATAGGATTTTAAATGGCTTTAAAGCTTGGGTAGAAACGGTTCAGTATCCCAAAGTCATCGCAAGCATTCAGCTCATATTGCTCAGAATATTTACTCTGTAATAGCAGACAATATTGAAGGCTAAAGCCTTTTAGAAGTATTTAAAACCTTCAAGGCTGTCAGCCTTGGCCTTTTTCTAACTTAAACCTCTTGTTCAATGTATTAGCATGGAGTTATTAGTCCATTATTACTTAAGCAGAGGAATTACTTACCATCATGTGATAATCCTCATGTCCTTCAATAGGTTCACTCACCACATTTTTAATGGACCCCATGGGTATTTTTTCTGTTCTCTCTACATTAAAATGGATAAAAATAATGTTTGATCTATCAGCAGTGCTTTGCTACAGTGCTTCATATTGACTTCAGACACCATCTCTCACACTCCTGCTGGAGGAGGGACAGGGGGTAGCAGCATGCAAGCAATTCAGAGTAAACCCAGTCCCTGCCACCTAAACTTCGATGACTCATATTGTGCCAGATAGCCCCTCTAAATACCAGACAACCTAATTTTCTTCAACCAACCAATATAGGATTCTGATCCTGCAAACACTTATGCATGTGCTTAGCTTTACTACTGTGAGCAGTCGAATTAAAATTGATAGGACTCAACTGTAAAGTGAAGCACGTACATATATGTATGTGGGATCAGGGTCTAAGTGTGTAAAACAATTACCGTATATACTTGATCATAAGCCGGTTCATTTATAAGCCAACCCCCCAAGATGGATAAGTAAATATGGAAAATTTTTATGACCCATTCATAAACCGACCCTATAATTCAAGGGTCAGCAAACTTTGGCTCCTGGGCCATCAGGATAAGCCGCTGGTGGGCCGAGATGGTTTGTTTACCTTGAGCATCTGCAGGCACGGAGGTAAATCTAAGTAAACAAAGTGTCCCGGTGCGCCAGCTGCTTACCCTGACAGGCCAGGACAGCAACTGGTGGGGAAATTTTTTGGGGGGGAGAAGCTGGGAGTCAGGGGAGTAACCCCTGTGACCACCCCCCACATGACCCCATCCCTAGCCCGGGACCACCACACTCTCCCCATCCCATCCCTTCCCACCTTATCTGGGAAGGGCCAGGGGAGGATGTCTCTGGCCTGGCTGGAGCTGCTCCGGCAGGCTGGGCAGCGTGGCCGCAGCCTGCTCCAGCGGACCAGACCAGGCAGTGGGCCGCAGCATGTTCCAGCAGGCTGGGCTGGGCGGCACGGACGCAGCGTACTCCGACGGGCCGGGTGGCGTGGCCACAGCCTGCTCTGGGGGGTGGGGCCAAGTGGCGGAGCTGCTTCGGAGGCTGGGGGGAGAGCAGCGTGGCCAGAAGCGGAGAGACTCTGGCCCCGCCTCTTCCCTTCTGGTTCTGCTGCCTCTCCTTGCTCTCTCTGTTGGGGGGAGGGGCTGTGTCCCACCTCTCCCTCTCTATACCGGTTCATAAGCTGACCCCCTTCTCTGGTGCTTCCCTTTTTTACTAAAAAAATTCGGCTTATGAACAGTATATATACGGTAACTCTTTTCATCCTTCCAATTTCTGCAGAATTGAGCTATGAAAAAGTGTACAACTCTCCATCAAGAGCTAGTCCTGTCTCCAGCACAAGACTGCATTTAGTGGTTATTATAAAGGTATTAAAAAGATAGGAAGGGAAATATTAATGAGAGTATAGAAGGGAGAGAAAATACAAGAGATTTTGAATAAATGACTATGATAACATTACAAAATAATGGATTAGGTAGTTAGCTGTGAGCAAGAGGAATTACTAAAGCATAGGACTCACGACGGATTTCTTATCTATGACGTATGTCCTCACTTCTTCCTTTAGACTTTTAACTAAAATCTTTCCTTTTAACTCCTACTTCCATCACCCATGTCAGTCTGACACTCTAAGTTCATCTTCTTGAGAACAGGACATAGATAAAAACAAGCTCTAATTATAGAAGATAAGCCAAGCAATGCACACCTTAAATGAGGAGCACCCTTTGAAGTGCAATGCAGAAAGCAGTAACTGCTCGGAAAAGATACATAAGGAAATGCAGCAGCACAGAGGCACTTTGTTTTTACACCATAGAGAAGACAAAAATGTAAACCAATATTCTCCATTTTAATGCAATAATTACTCTGACCCTATGGCTGTCAGGCCAATTCCAATCAAATTGATGGGAGGATGATCATTTACTGAGCAAATTACTTGGCACTTATTCTGCATCCTCCAAACATTAACTGATTACTTCTCATAACATCTCTGACATTGACAGGTCAGTGAGGCACAGCCAGGGGAAGTTGCTTGCCCTAGGATCAAAAGGTGCTTTAGAAATATTAATCCTCAAAATCTGTAGCAGAGGGAAAGGTAAGTAATTATTCAAACACTAATTAGCCAATAGAGCACACCTATCAGTAATGAAATGGAGAGCAACTCAGACTTGACTGCACCAACACCCAGCCCATGCTGTAATAGGACTAGTTCTCCATCAATCATTTAGCCCAACAAAAATGAAGTCACCGTACTGGGTGTTGCCACAGGATTGGTGCCACAAATTCATAGATTTTAAGTCCATAAGAGACCATTATGGTAATCTAGTCTGACCTCCTGGACATCACAGGCCCACAGAACCTAGCCAGTGGTTTCTGCTAGGCTTTGGAAGAAGACCTGTGCTGCATGGGAGCTAATGTTTGCAAATCTCAATATAAGTATTAATTATTATCATCTTGCAGCAGGAAATTGTTATCCAAGCTAGCATAACAGTCCAGCTAAGCTCTCTTACTCAGACAACAAGTTCCCCCCATTCCTCTCCCCCATCTTTGCAGCATCATCCCGTTCTGGCCAAGGGGAGCAAGGCATGGATTCCTTTAGTTATCTGGAAGCAAAGGGGTTATTTGAGAGTGATGTCCTCCGCATACTGTGCTATCTCCACAGCACTGTCAGCTTCTGCTGGCCTGTCTTCAAGATTGTAAATTGAATTCCCTGCAGTGGCACATGCTGTCTTCTCTAAACTAGATTGCAATTGCACAGCCCTGAAACAAGTCACCCAACTCATTTCAGTTCCTAGAACAGATAATGAGAGTGGTGCCAGTATTCCTAGCAGTATTCCAGCTCTGAGAGAGACTCTCTGTGGCCTTAGATAAGTCACTGAGCCTCCCTGTGCTGTGGGGATTAAATTGCTTATGCAGTGCTCTGAAGATAAGAAATGTTATGAATGCTAAGTATTATAATCCACAATTGAGAGTTATGGCTAAGAATAAGATTATGTCCCAGAGGTCATGGATCTCCCAGGCACCAGCCCTGGAGCTCCGAGCTGCTGCGGGTGGAAGGGGACCCCGGAGCAACGAGCTCCCGTGGGTGGTGGGTGCTGCCCCCCTCATCCGTGACGTTTACTAAAAATAACCATGACGAAATCTTAACCTTATTTATGGCATAGTAAAACAAATAAACTCAAGCTTTCCAAGTACAAATACATAAAATATTTTGTAATATTCAGCCACCTGAAGAAAGCCTATCTGGGAAAGAAACAGAGTGAACATTTGATTTTGAATGATTAATATAAAAAGAGCAGGAACTATTCCTTTAATAAAGTTTATTCTTGACTGAAACTGGTCTTTATGATGGGACTGCGAACAATGGCATGTACCCGATATGCGACTGCTAGCAGCAAATATCGCCAAGGGCCGGAGACGTGATGCTAGGAGGGGAAAGGCTCCAAGTTACAACAGAGAATTCTTTCGCAGATGTCCTGCTGGTGAGTCTTGCGCACATGCTCAGGGTCTAACTGATTGCCATATTTGGGGTCAGGAAGGAATTTCCCCCCAGGTCAAATTGGCAGAGACCCTGAGGTTTTTTCTCCTTCCTCTGCAGTGTGGGGGACGGATCATTTGCAGGTTTGAACAAGTGTAAATGGTGGATTCTCCATAATTTGAATTTTTTAAATCATGATTTGAGGACTTTAGTAACTCAGCCAGAAGTGATGGGTCTATTACAGCAGTGGGTGGGTGAGGTTCTGTGACCTGCGATGTGCAGGAGGTCAGACTAGATGACCATGATGGCCCCTTCTGACCTTAAAATCTATGAGTCTAGTCTGTACATACACAACTAGTCAATACCTGGAGTAACAGTCTTAGTCACTTACCTTTAGTGCCTATCCACAGCTGATCTTGCTCTAGTTTAAAGGTCAGCCTCACTTTCCCCCCTGTTTTGTTGTACATGCCGGATAAGGGCACTGTCGGCAGGCGCTCCTAAAAATACGCAATACGAAAAGTGAAAATGCAAGACTTAAAATGTACAAGAAAAAGCCATAGAGTACTAAGATAGCAGGGGGAAACAAATCTGGAAAAAGTCTCAGGGAGCATGAACAATGGGCTGGTAGCGTATTTCCTGATCAGGACAGTGGTCCAAGTGGTTATTTAACTTACCTGAACACCCTTAACAGAAGGCATCACGTCTTCAGGTTTTCCTTTATCCAATACTTTTCTGTGTTGCTATAACGAAAACCAGAAATTAGACTACTGAAACGTGACACAAAGCTTTTAATTTACCCCTGACCACTTCCTGAAATACTGTGCAATAGCTCTATGTAACATTTTTTTAAAATAGGGTAAGTCATTTATCTAACAGAAACTGGTTAGTTTTAAAAGTCAACAGGGTTTTTTTTATGACTGTCTAAAGAAATACCGTGAGAATCAAAACCCAAAGAAGATGCAAAAAAGAAAAAAGTCTTCTATTGTGTGCAGAAGCCAGGCACAAGTTTAATATCACAGAGGAGTTATCCCTTAGCAAGACAATTGTAATAATCAGGTGTTATGTTCAATGACTGTCAGAAATACAATCCCTAGATTTAATAAAGTAACACAGAAACAAAACCAGAATAAATTAGAGCACTAGTACTAACAAAAAACATGCTTGCAACTGACAAGTTTGCTGAGTACCTTTGAACAAGGATGAAATGTACAGTAAATGTGAACTATGATAGATTATAAAAAGACAAAAGCATATTTCATAAAAGTTGCAAACCAACAGTGAACATTAACTTTTAATGGAATTTGTTGCTGATGAAAAATATGTGGCTGAAAACAACTAGAATTAAAAGCCCTTTATTCAGCCCTACCACAGATGCAGCACAGCCATGACAGCATGCTTTCTTACACTGTCGCTGAACTTTCTTATGGGGGGAAAAAACACCTTTAGATGTGAGAGGAGTTCAGTGTTCTCTGGGCTGATGAAGCTGCCAAAAAAGGGACCAACTATGAAGGTGGTTTGGGAGACATAGAAACTAGACTGCTAGGAATGGGACTAAGATCATTAAGTTGTTTCACATTAGTGACTGAACAGCCACCAATTTTTGCTCACCTGACCTAAAAGAGTAGACTAAAAATGGAATATGAAGCCTGTCTCTTGTGAATCCTTGCTAATAACATTTGTCTTACTGAGTTGCTGAGCTCCATAAGTCACCAGTGCAACACTGTCCTTGCGAATCCAGGGCTTCCACTGGACTAGATAGATACCAATATGTTCTGTTAGAACTCATCTATGCTGGCCCCTTCTTGTAATAATGATTGTAAGTAAGAAATAGTCTACTTCAGAGTGGAATAGAACCCAAGGGTTAGAACACAATGTTACACAAGAACTGTACGAGCCCAAATTTCCTTGTCCTATGCCAACAGTTACTGAGACATCACTTACCTTTTGTCTACAAAGAGGCTCTTTTTTATTTTCTTCAGATTTCACCTCTTGTTGAGCAGCTTCTTTGGGAGTATTTACTGCTAGCACATCATTGATAGTTGAACCAACAACCATTATTTTTGCACCATTTGTTACTTTGATTTCCCGTAATGTTTTCTCCTCCGGTACAAGTCCTTTAAACATGACTTTCTGCATAGTGGGTGGAAGGCCTAAGAGGCAAGAATTAAAGGGCATTTTAAACCCCCATGAGTATATTTGTGGTCAGAAGAGAAACAAACTTATGTGGCAAGTCGTTATGTCTGCATGCTGCATACTCTCCACTTTACCTGTGAGGGAGTGGATTTTCTCTTTCAGATCAGCCCCTGTGCTGTCAAGCGGGAACTTCACATCATATTTATTTTTGTTCCAAATGATTTTTAATTCTACTAGTTCCTTCCCAGTCTCGGAATCGCCACCGTTGCTGACTGAAGCCTGTGACATGTCTGAATCCTCTTGCAGTTGGTCCATTTCCAGGGCTTTCCCAGCCGCGGAGGAATTGCTTTCCCCAGCATCTCCACAGCTAAGCTCCAGCGCCTGAGCTTCTGTTTCCATGCCAGGTTCATCGACTTCTAAGGAAACAAACAGACCCAGACAAGCCCAGAGGGAGGCACGTTGGGCGGTTACCGCTTGAGGTCTCCCGCCGGCGGCTCTGCTCTCCCCGGTCCCCTGGCACGGGCACTAAGGCAGCCGCTGCCCTCCAGCCAGGAACCGGGGCCCAGGCTCTCGGGGGAGGGACACGCCGCCCCGCAGCTGCCCGTGAGACTCGGACACCCCCTCCCGTGGCGGGGGGCAGCTGCCAGGGCTCCCCCCGATCCCGGGTCCCGGCACCCCGCTGCCCGGGCGGCGCCTTCCCTCCCGGGGCCCTGTCCGCCCATGGCAGGCTCGGGGGCAGCCCTCCGAGCCCGGCACCAGGCCCCGTCCCGCCACGGACCCTGCCCCGGCTGCCCCCAGCGCTCACCATCAGCGGAGGCAGAGGCGGCAGCCATGATGATTGTGTACAATCCGCCCGCGGGGGGTGCTGGGAAACGCCGTGCGCTGGGATTGGCCCCCACCGGCCCCCGTACCCCGCCAAGGATTGGCCCCTACTGGCCCCCGTACCCCCGCCTCAGCCACCAGAGGCGGCTAGGCTCGAGCCCTCCCGCCGCGCTCGCTGCTCCGGAGCCCGCTCCCCTCGGCTCCAGCTATTGGCGCGAGGGTAAAACCTGCCCCTTCTCCAGCCTGACCCCCGCAGCCCCTGGGGGAACCGGAGTTAGTTGGGGTGTGGGGCTGTGAGTGGCCAATGCGGAGTGGCTTGTAGCTCGGCCCCCCGTTTAGACGCGGCGAAGGGCCCGACAACAGGGCCTGGGCCGGAGCAGTAAGATAAAGGGGACCCTGCGCCTTTAAGGGACGCCCCGCCCTCTAGTGTGGGGGTGCAGTTGATTGGCTGGCTGAGCAAACCCGGATGCAATTCTCCGCACCCACGTGTGTGCTGAGCGCCATGCTGGCTGTGCCGGAACGGGCTCTCCTATGGCGCCTGCGCTGCGGGGCGTTGGGCCCCTCCTGCGGGGTGCTCCTCGCTGGCTGTCCCCGCGGGGCGCCGGGGTGTCGTCTCAGGCGGGGGATGTGCCCTGCGGAGCTGGGGTGAGGGTGCGGTTCGCGCCCAGCCCCACAGGTAAAGGACCCCAGTCCCAGCACAGGGCGGCGGTAGCAGTTGGGGTTAGAGTTTCTTGGCCTTGCCTACATCGGAAGTTGCCCCTACTGGGATGGCCCATTATTGGCCGGGGGGTGGGGGGTTTCTGCCCTACTGGAAGGGGGACACCCGGGGTGGTGGTGGTGGTAATTTGATTGAGAATTGTAAATGTCTCCTTGAAACACCCATTGAGACTTTCAAAAAGTGCCTGACAACTAAACCAAAACTACCGAAATGTAGCTAATATTCGAGAGGATAAACTTGATGTGAGTTAAAAATGAGCCTCATTTGTTGTGATTCAGGAGTGGGGGTGTAAATAGAATGGTGAAACTCCTTTGGAATCTAAATATTCACTTAAACTATAAAAATCACTTATCTAGTACAGAGCCAGAAATAATTTAAAAAAATTAAAAGTTGCTGTTTAATAACCCTTCCCCCATCAATAATATTTTCTGCTCTTTTCCCAACCCACCTGCTTTTGGCATTTGCACTTTTGGAGAAACTCTAATTTAAAAGTTTTCAAAGTACTTCACACACAATTAGATAAGCTTCACAGTGCCCCTGTGAGAGAGAGCTCTATGGGGGAGGGATAGCTCAGTGGTTTGAGCATTGGTCTGCTAAACCCAGGGTTGTGAGTTCAATCCTTGAGGGGGCCACTTAGGGATCTGGGGCAAAATCAGTATTTGGTCCTCCTAGTTGAAGGCAGGGGGCTGGACTCAATGACCTTTCAAGGTCCCTTCCAGTTCTAGGAGATAGGATATCTCCATTAATTTATATTACTCTTCTCCTGAGTTTAAAGGCCCAGGGTCACACGCAAAGGCTTTGTATACATACTGAAGTTGCATCAGTTGAGCTAGAATAAATGTCTTAAATCGATTTAGTTAAACCCATGCAAATGGCTCTATGGACTCTTAAATCTGGGTTGTGTCAATATAGTTTTAAGCTGATTCCTTCTCAGTTTAAGTTATAATACATATAAGCAATAGAAAACTGATTTAAGAGTATCCACACAGAGATTTGCAGTGGTTTAAGTAAATAGATATATTTAAAAAAATTAAACTGATACAAGTTTTGTATCTAAACAAGGCCTGTGCCTGTGGCAGATCTGAGAATGGAACTCCAACTACCAGCTGCCACTTCTGTGTCACAGGAATAGATGCCTTAAAAATAATTAAGGACACAATCTGACAAACTGTTCTATCTGTATGAGCCCCTCAGCCTGTACAGAGCCCCATGGACTTAAGTGTGTCAGTGCCAAATGGTTTGTAGTAACAGAGCCTAAGATGGCTAGTTCTGCATGCTCAGTACTAGCACTCTCTCCCAGTGAAAATATACTGGTCTATTTTTAGTCCCTTTTGTTTTCAGGTTCTCTTTTGTAGCTTGCTACAAGGGTTTGTTTAATGTGGGTTGCAGGGGAAACCCTCTGAACTGAAACTGAACATTCATGAAAACACTTCTGTGATACTTGACATTTACATCTTTTCGTCTGTGAAGGCTCCCAAAACATTTAAATACCTTTAAAAAAAAATGTACGTTTTACACCAAACTGACATTGTCCCTTAATAGATCTGTCTTATCACACTTTGCAATTAGTTGCATTAGGGATCAGTTACCCATATGCAGTTTATGTTGTATGCCGAGTCAGGAGCAGATCTTGCAGTGTTCTGCTCCAGCGGTACAAGTCTCCCAAATAAATAAGATAGAGGGCAATTTCCTTCCTCTTTAACTAGAAGCACCGATTAATTGCCTCAGCTCCTAGAGGATGGGATCATTACAAACTGGCAAATGTTTGGGCAGAGTTGGCAATATCTGCAGACTCTTGTGATCACACAGCCCACCCTGCCTTTAGTATGCCATTGCTTTTGACCCTCAGGTTGCATATTTACTCTTTGAAGACTTGTCTGTAGTAGGAAATTGAACAGCTGCTGATAATTTTCAATACGAGATCCCCTGAACCAGTACTGGAACTTGTGTAAGTGCTAGTGCAGACCACACAAAACTCTTCAGTGTTTCAGAGTGGAAGACAGAAGCTAGTTATGCCTTCTGAAAGAGTTTTGAGAATGGCTTTCTTCAGTGGACACTGTCATTTAAACCATATTTAGCACCAGCTCAGGGAAGCCATTTCTGAAAACCAGTCATCAGTGCTTCAGTTTCCTAGTGTAGACAGAGCTTTAATGGCCTGCATAGCCATTTGTTGTTTCACTGTGCTGTTCAGGTGCAATAATGTGTTAAATGCCATCATAAACAATAGTTTACAGCTCCTGTTGAAAAACCTCTTTGTCGATTGTATTTAATTTGGCCTGACTTGCTCTGCTTTCGCTCTGATAACCCAGGCTTTTTGCACTTGGGCGGCCTTCGTACTGCTTTGTACAATTACATTTTTGCCAGAAAACACCAAGGGGCTTTTATCTTGAGACTGGAAGATACGGATCAAAGTCGCGTGGTGACTGGGGCTGCAGAAGGAATAGAGGATATGCTGGATTGGGCAGGTAACTTCCAAGTCTGTACACTTCACTTCTTAACTACTGAAACAATCTACACGATGAAGAGTTTTACTATTAAAAAGAACCTCACTAAAATTCAAAATCCTGTCAGCACTGTCCCTTGCTATTCAATATATTGATCTAGTGGTTATCGTAAAGGGCTAGGAACCAGAAGGGTCCTATTGTAGTAAGACTTTAGCTAATGATTAGGTGAATGTCCTTTGGTTATCCTGTGCAGAAGGACCCATGCATGTTTAGCTGGAAAGAGATGCATCCCTCCCAAAGAGGTGTGTGGGAGGTTGGCGAAAAGGCCAGGAGTTGGAACTAAGAGAACTTAGCATGAGTTTGCCTTTTTTTGTGCTTGGATGAGTTTTAAAGATACTACATTGATGGTGAGCGTTTGAGAAGATGGTGTTACTGTAAATTCTGTTTACCATGTTTATATTTAAAGATAGAATTCCAAGTACTCTGGTAATCAAATAACTTTACAGTAGAGAAAATAATGGGTTCTAAAATCTCAGCTGTATTTCTGTGAAGATAGTGTAACTTACCAGAGGAAGGTGTGTGCGTGTGCCCATACTTACATACCGCCACACTCGGCTACTTGAAATGTATTAGACCTGCTCAAGTATTTGCCAGTTTGTGATGGTCTCTCCTGCCAGTGACTGGAAACCTGAAAGAGACTATAAACCAGGGGTGGCCAAACTTACTGAGCCTCCGAGCCGAATCTGACAATCTTCAGAAGTTCAAGAGTAGGTCTGCCCAGGCTTGGGGATTCTTCCCTGCGGGAGGCACCTACCGGGGCTCAGGGCTTCAGCCCCGCTCCTGCTGAAGCCCTGAGCCCCAGCAGGTGTGCCTTGCAGGACTGGATTCCCCAATGCCCCCCCCCCACTGGGCAGAAGCCCCTACTCCACCATCTTCCTGCAAGACAGAGGTCCCGAGCTCTCTCCTCGCCCAAGTCTAGTAGGTGAAGAATGGGGTGGGACTCCATGATCCGCACTTTAACTGTAAAAGAGCCGCATGTGGCTTGCGAGCCACAGTTTGGCCACCCCTGCTATAAATGCTAACACTATTGAGGGCCATGGAAGATTCCGCTATAGTTCACCAGGTAGAGTCCCATGCTGCATGTGAGCAGTGTGCTCTGTGGACACACTCCAAAGTAAAACTCTTGCCTTCTGATCCCTGTTGAATGCTCTATCATCAAACTTTACCTTGGATTGAGAGCTTGTTAAATCCCATAACTCTGGCATTCCAGGTATCCCACCTGATGAAAGCCCTCACAGGGGAGGCCCGGTCGGGCCCTACCAGCAGTCTCACAGACTTGAGCTGTATAAGAAAGCCAGCGAGGTTCTTCTGGAGACTGGCGCTGCCTACCGCTGCTTTTGCACTCCTCAGCGCCTGGAACTGCTGAAGAAGGATGCGCTACGGAATCGGCAGACACCACGGTAGGGGGCCTCCTGTGGAGTGCGTGCATGCAAAACCAGTGAAGACGTCTCTGGCATTGGACTCTGAGACACCAGCTGCCCAACTACAGGGGCACTGAAGGCATTAACAGCTCAGAATAATTAGAGCTCTTACTTGTCACTTTGACTTTAGCTCCAAATGTATCTTGTTGTTGAAGAGAAAGTCCCAGTCTCTAGCCTAAATGACCATGTTTAACATTTATATAGCACACACTGTCTCTAAAGAGCATTACACACATTAACTGACCAAGCTTCTCAATCCCTCACCCTCCCAGTGAGGCGTGTAAGTAGATAAACGTTATCACCACCTCACAGAACGAGGGGCTGAGGCATAGAGGTGAGGTGACTTGACTCAGCCCTGAGTGAATTGTTGCCGGAGCTGACATTGGAACTCAGGATCCAGACTA